CAATTTTTCTCTTGCTGGAACTCACTCTCTTCAGCCAATTCTTCCTATTTTCCCTTCATTCTCATGATTGCGACACTAATTGTTTTTATAGTTATTGAATTTTATCTTGTTGCTTGGCTACTTGTATCACCATGTCCATAATACAGGTATCACGTTCCTTATCCTTCACTTTGTTGCTCCTATCGGACTCACAAATATTTTTAGAAATATCATAATAAGTGCTCGGATAAGGATAAAAAGATTTAGGACAATCATTCCAATAGCCATCTTGACTACCATATATATTACAAAAATTTCACACATAGGATTGAGAAAGTACACAAAATCCACTATCGGGAACTTCTTGACAGTTTTGCAACAAGTGGGGGTCCTCCATAATATGTACAAGGATTATTAAAATAAGAACATGCACTATTCGATAAATTTTCATCGCAAGATTCCACATCAAGAAAGAAAATAAAATATTAAACAAAACCAAAATATAAAAATTTGAATAGATAAAAACTAAAAATCTATTCTAGAAAAATAGTTAATTACTAAGTCCTCGAAAACAACGCCAAAAACTTGTTGCTCCCAAATACACACGTAAGTATACGTTGTCGACAAGTAGTAAAGAGTGAGTAGAGTATCGATCCCACGAGTACTTGTGGTCAACTATCAACTAAATTAAAATAAAAAAATTTATCCATTCAAGCGATTTTCTAAAGTTTGATTATTTAACTAAAATTAATCTAGATCAGTAAACTAAAAAATTAAAGAAAACAAGTCGGCAAGCTTAGAGATTGAACTTAATAAGAGAAAATATTTCAGGATTATAGGTCAGCTAAAAATCCCGTTGAGTTTTTCACTTAAGTTGACTAATTAAATTATCTGGTTTATTGATTGACAGGGTCAATATTACTCGTAGCATTCTCTCGAAGTACTACTAGCTTATTCAAGCTAATCTAACACCTATATTCTTATGGAATTAGAACTAACAAGAACACATTAATAATTCATGTATAGTAACCAAGCAAGGAAATTAGGTATATTTCTATCCTAATCATAAATCTGTTCCCCGAGGCACACGTTCAGAATCTTGCTCTACTCAATCTTATATGAAATCTAGAATTCTCACTTTCGAGTTCAATACTAGATTCGTAGATTATATTCAATTAGTGATCAAACAATCAAATAATTAAATGCAAGATTGAATTAGATAAATCAATATGATAAAAATAATAAGAATAATTCAACAACTAAAAGGTTCATGTAGCACCCACAACCCTAGAACTAATATACTATAAAATTAATGAAAAAAGAAGAGAAGAAAAACTCGTGTCATCGAGATCCAAGTACTGTTGCTGCAAAACCAAACCCCCCCAAACCCCGCCGATTTTTATCTCTAGCAAAGGCGATATATTTCTACAGTAAAATACAATGCCTTTATGGCCTTAGATCCGCCATTACGCTTTGGAATTCTTCTAGATTTGTCTCAACCGAGACCCAGTAACACAATGAACAACCACAATTGGTTTCATTCGAAAATTCCAAACGCTTGGTTACAAATTTACAAAAAAGTGACGGGTCCTCTGTAGCGGCGCATCATTTGGAATCTCCAAAAGATGCGCATATCAGCTCTGGTTCAATTCGAACAACGCAAGGAGGTGAATTCTATTTTCCAATTCAAACACTCCCTCCCAACCAAGCTCTAGAGCTTTCGACTGAGAGAATTGAGACCTTCAGCCGTTCCCAGATCAGTTATGAACCCAAAGCTGGTGAAGACAGCGATGAAGGTAACAACACAGATCAAAACCAATGGAAAATCGATTCTTCCCATTTGGAGAACATACCTGAGGACGCATATCATCCCTGCATCGATTCAATTAATACAACAATCAAAACAAATATATCTACAAATCCCACCACCCAAGCTATTCGACAAAATGCCTCACCCAGTTCCTCCAATGCAATTGGATGGAAAAGTTCCAATACAGGTTGCTGAGAATCTCCGGAATATCCAGTTCCAATCACAAGTTCAGACCAATGGTACTCGACCAAATGCTATCCTTCATGCTGTGCAGCTGAATGCCCACACTTTTCCTACTCTTTCAACTGCTCAGAGATCAATCAAGCAGCTTGCTGTAGATAATGAGAAGACATTTGAACCAAACTCTACTGATCAACTGTGTTCAACCCCTTTGCCAACAGAATTAGCACACTCAGGTACTCTCTCTGTAGCATATTTTCCCAACCAAAAAAGGCATTAACTAGGAATGTAGATGCTTAGCCACATCCTCAACTCCCTCAGATACCAACACATCACACTTTTCTAAAATCACTACTAACTTTGACAAACCTCCTCCTGCTATTAAGAATCAAATATTAACTACAAGCCAACACAAGGAAACCACAAATCCTAGATTAATGCCAAAAAACACAACCCCCAAGCCAAAGCACAAATCCAATAAACCACTGCACCAACCACAAATAACTCAGCCAAGTTAGATCAACCAAAACACACTGACACTGGCCAGCCAAATAAACCAACTACCTACCCTGCTCCACCACATCCTACGATCACTCAATCCCTAGCTAAAAGTTAAGAGCTAGGCAAGCTGCAGAGATAGCCCCAATAGAGTTCACACCACCCAGAATAACCACAAAACAGGGCCAACCAGTTGTTATCTTCACCGGGACAGATTACATGGTCACACTAGCTAGCAGATGCTAATACACAATTGTGGGCAAATTCCTTAACACAATGCCTAGAATGTAACAAATAAGGTGGAGCTTCATAGAACAAACAGAACTCAGAGGAGGAGCTAAATAGCTCATTTCAATGCAAGAATTGTGTATATCGACCTCGACAATGAGTATGATCATACCACTGTGTGGACAAAAATGTTCATGTACATCCAGGGTCAAAGAATGGAATTACAGGCTTGGACACCCAATTTCAAACCGAATGAGGATAATCCCATTGTCCCTATTTGGATAGTCATTCTAGCACTACCATGGCATTTCTACTACAGGGAGGTCTTATCGGTATTATTGTCAACAATTGGTAAGGTCTTACATCTTGACCTAGCATCAATGCAAAAACAAAGGGAAGTGTAGCAAAAGTAAAAATGCAGATAGACTTGACTAAAGACATGGCTCATCATGTTTGGTTTGGCTTTGATGAAGATCATGATGTAAATGGAGATGGCCAGTGTCTGAAAGTTGTGTATGAAGATATCCCAGAGTTCTGCTCACACTGCAAGCACCTGGGACATGAAGAATACTCCTGCTCTATTAGCTAAAAGGAAGAATAAGAAAAGAAGAAAGCAGCAACAGAAATATCTAAACATTATGCCAATCCCACAATAAACAAATCTGAAAGATCAAATGGAAAAAACCCTCAACAACAAAAAATGTCACAGGGTTAGAACAAAGATCAGAATCACAAATAAAAAATGGTAGAGCAAAATACTAGTGAGGAACAACAAGAAAAAATAGAACACAGGGCAACACCACAATAACCAGAACAAGGTAAACCACTCCAACGACCAATGTCACTCTCAAAAGAAGAAGAATTTCAAAAGTATCAACCAAAGAAATAAGCAACAGAAACTCAATCAAACAACTACACTTATAGATAAATCGCAAGGGACCAGGCCACTCCATATCACAGCTCCAGCTTCCAAATTACACAATGCTCCCTAAATTGCTGTGGAGATTGAGACAGATCCCGTTCCCATTCCTGCTCTTACTACTACTGAAACAATTGCATGAAAGGTGAATAATGAGGAATCACCTGATCAGCCAGGAGCTCCAGTTGTGGTGGATTTTTCTACTATTTTGCATGACAGTGCTGCTGCACATGAAATCCTCATAATGGATAACTTACTCCCTGATGATTCCACTCAACAATGCCTCCAGAAATCTCTTGCAGTTGAAATGGGACCAAGGTGATTAATGACTCTGCCAACAAAGTCAAGGCCAACAACAAATCTCTATATATGAACCATCACACCTTGAGCACCAACAAGAATGAATAGAGCCAACAAGACAGGACAATTGAAAATTCCAGCTCCAATCCTAAAGATCCTGGGATAATCAGGAGCCTTGCTCCAGGTACTACTGGGAATACTGAAGCAGCTACAAAAGATAATACAATTGATTGGGTCCAAAGGTGCTTTGGAATGCACAATGAGAGAATAATGTTACTTAAACCACTCTTGCCAAGAAATACCTTTTCAGACATTTCTGGAATCTCCTAAGTCCAATGGAAACAATACATGCTCTACACAACAAGGGCATGCTGCAGTGTATCAACATGGGTACAGTTCAGAGACAACTGCAACAATAAGACCTACTGACCAAATGGATCACTTAATATCAGAACATACTACTAATGTTGAAGTAGAGAAGTCACAAGATACAATGAAGACAGATTCCCAAAGTGCTGGTGGGAAGGATCAAGTCATATTGTATGAGCAGATAGGGTCAGATATAGTTTCCAGGGAGATAGGTACCATCCAACCAGTACCTTTGGAATGTGCATCAGGGACTGGGTCTCCAATGCATATTCAAATCAACGTACCATTGAAATCTCCTAATCTGGTAATGCATGAGATTATTACACATAAGGAGCTACCTATGGAAATTCAAACAGTCCAGGACCATAGAGAACAAGTCCAAGATGAAGTTGATGATGAATCTACTGTTGGGAACTTCAAAGCTATTGCCAGGGAAGGAGATTTATCACCAAGGGTTTCAACTAGGAATGGAAAGAAAGGAAAGAAGCAAACTCAATCAAAGGAACAACTCCCACCAACAAGAATTCTACCCAAGAGGGTAACCTCCTCGACTAGATGATGATTAAAACCCTCATATGGAACATAAGGTTTGTCAAGACTCAACAAACCTTTTAAAGAGTTATCAACATGCAAAAGGAACATGGTTTTTTCATTATAGCACTCATGGAACGTTTCCAAAAGTAAAGGTTAATTCAGAACTACAGGAGAAGACTAGGCATGGAATCAACAATATCCAATGTCAATGGCAAGATTTGGCTATTTCTAGATGCAGTCGTTGAGTGGGATTTGTTGATTGACACTGAGCAACAACTAACTATAAAGGTATACCATCAAGACCTTGGAAAGTACATCATGATGACCTTTGTATATGTAAAGTGCCCATCTCTGGATAGATTAGAATTATGGGATAATCTATACTATCTTGCTAGTGACATGGAGTTACCTTGGGTGGTTGGAGGGGATTTTAATGTAGTTCTTAATGAAGAAGAGAAAATCGGAGGCCTCCCAGTATACCCTCAAGAATACAAAGATTTTGCCTTCTGTATAAACTCATGTGGACTGTTTGACAATGGTTATAAAGGCAGCCCATTCACCTGGTGGAATGGGAGACCAAATGCAGAATGCTTATTCAAAAGATTGGACAGAATTCTTGTCAACATGCCTTTCCAGACTTTATTCCCCACTACAGAAGTGGAGCATCTAATTAGAACAGGCTCAGATCATGTGCCACTCTTGATGAGCTGTGGAGATCGGACTTTACAAGTTACCAAACCATTCAGATTCTTGAATTTCTGGATAAAACATAAAACATTTATATAGATAGTTAGACACAATTGGAAGGCTAATTGCATAGTAGACCCCTTCTTGATGTTCAAATAGAAATTAAAGAAAGTAAAGACTGATCTCCCCATATGGAGCAAGCTTACCTATGGGGACATCTTCAAACAACTGGATTTAAGGGAAAATGTAGTCAGAGTAAAAGAAATGTTATTTGAAGACAATCCAACAGTTGAGAATCGCATTGAACTTCAGCAGGCCCAAGCTGAATTGAAGAGATACCCGAGCATTGAGGAACAATTCTTGAAACAAAAAGCAGGAATGACTTGGTTTGTAGAAGACGATAGAAATACCAGATTTTTTCATAACCATATCAATGGTAAGAGGCAGAAATTCCAACTCAAAGGGATTCACAATAATGCTGGTGCACGGACTGATACACAGACAACTATGGCTGATACTGCAGCTGAATTTTTCCAGAAGCAATTCACCCAACAAGATGAGCCCACAAACTTTGACCTTCTTGACAATATTCCTAGCATGGTATCTACTGAGAAGAACTTAGAGCTCTGTAGAATTCCAACAAAAGAGGAGGTCAAGGCAATAATTTTTGAGTTAAGTGGCGAAAGTGCAAGTGGCCCAGTTGGCTTCACTGGTATCTTCTTCCAAGTGTGCTGGGATATAGTAGCTGAAGATATACACAATATGATTAAACTATTTTACGGGGGAAGATCTTTGCCTAAATCTATAACTCACACAAACCTTGTATTGCTTCCAAAAAATACAAATGTCCAAACATTCTCTGATTTGAGACCGATAAGTTTGAGCAACTTCATAAACAAGGTAATCTCCAAAGTAATCCATGATAGGCTGGAAAAGATTTTGCCTTTTCTGATTTCTTCCAATCAGTCAGACTTTGTTAACGGGAGAAGTATTTTTGAAAACATCTTGTTAACTCAGGAAATTATTAATAATATAAGATTAAGGGGTAAACCTGCTAATGTAGTCATCAAACCTGACATGGCAAAGGCATACGATAGGGTGTCCTGGAAATATTTGATGCATGTATTGAGAAAAATGAAATTTGCAGAATGCTTCATCAACATGGTGTGAAATCTCATTTCCAACAACTGGTATTCAATCCTGATTAATGGCCAAGATGCAAACTTTTTCCACTTAACATGAGGTGTCAAACAAGGTGATCCACTTTCTCCAGCCCTGTTCATACTATCAACCGAGCTATTATCTAGATCTTTAAATAGATTATTTGTGGACAAGAGGTTCAAAGGATATGGCATGCCTAAGTGTACTGACCCACATAACCACTTGGCCTATGTTGATGACACTATTATTTTTGCTTCTACTGATCATTACTCTATACAAAGGATTGTGGACGTCCTGGCCAGATATGAGCACACTTCTGATCAATTGATTAACAAGGAAACAACATCATATTACATGCATGCAAATACTGCTGGAGCATTGTTTGATACAGTAGGAACCCTCACTGTCTTTTCAAAAGGGGAATTTTCTTTCACATATCTTGGATGTCCAATATTCTACAAATAAAGAAGAAAGGAATACTACAATGAACTCATTAAAAAGGTCAAGGCTCAATTGCTTTCATGGAAAGGAAAACTACTGCCGTATGGAGGCAAAGCAACCTTAATCTCAATTGTGCTTCAAATCATGCCCACTCACCTACTATCAGTCCTTGATCCACCAAACAACATTATAGAACATTTACATAAAACATTTGCAAGGTTCTTCTGGAGCAACAAAGATGAAGGAAGAAGCAGACATTGGAATAAGTGGTAGAATTTGTGCTTACCACATGAGGAAGGTGGACTGGGTTTCAGATCTCTGTTTGATGTTTCAAAGGCACTTTTTGGTAATCTGTGGTGGAAGTTTAGGACCACAAAATCACTATAGTCAAATTTCATGTGGAATAAATACTGCAAAAAAGAACTACCCACTACTGTCTAATTCAGAGAAGGCTCACATGTTTGGAGAAAGATGTTGGAGGCAAGGGAAGAAGTGGAACATGAAATCTTATAGGATATGAACAGTGGCACAACCAACATATGGCATGAAAACTGGACAAGCCTAAGTGCTTTGTATCATGTTGTCCCACTAGACTTTGTCATCAATGAAAACATTCAGGAAGTAGCTGAACTGAGAGACGGAAATGATTGGAATCAAAATCTCCTAGAACAAACCTTTCCAGCAGAAATTACAGAACATATTAGAAAGGAATTATATTATAAAAACAATTCTGATAATTGGGACTCACCTAAATGGATGCGAACTGCATCATGGAGATTTTCAGTAACTACTGCATGACAATTAATGAGGCACAGAGCACCCACAATTCCTGAATATAAGCAATTATGGACTAAGGGATTACCTTTCAAGATATCCTTCTTCCTTTGGAGATTGTGGAAAGGCAAAATACCAATATATGATATGTGGAGCAGGAATTGTTACATTGTGGTGTCAAAATGTTGGTGTTGCATGCTACCTGAAATAGATACACCACAACACCTGTTCCTTACAAGCTCAACAGCTGACAGAGTGTGGAAAACCTTTGGGCAGGCATCAGGTATAGTAGGTAATCTAGTACATCTTCATCAAGCAATAAGAACTTGGTGGAATGTAACATGTTGTCCCAAATTGAAGCCACTGTTTCAAGCAGCCCCGACAGTGATAACATGGGAACTTTGGAAGAGGAGAAACAACATGAAGCATGGAGGAACAATGTCCTATAACAGAGTAATCCATGAGGTTAAGAAAACACTGCATAACTTGGCAAAAATCAGATATCCCTGGCTATCAAACATACCACTGCTATGGCCACAAATAATTGCATTCTTTGAAGGCTACAAACCATATGTAGTGACCAAGAGAGTTTTCTAGCATTCACCTATGAAGGATGATTCAAATACAACACTGATGGAGTATCAAGAGGCAATCCTGGCCAGAGCTCATATGGTTTATGTGTTAGAGATTGGAGAGGTGATTTAGTTTTTGCTAGGGCAGAAAAGATAGAAGTTACCACTAACATGGTTATAGAAGAAAATGCAATTGCACACGGGCTGACATTCTGTGTTACTAAAAAAATTCACCCTCTAATAATATAGACAGACTCATTGGGTATGATACAGATCATAGAAGGAGACTGGGAAACACCCTGGTGCATAAGCAAGGAGGTGAATAGGATCAAAGGGATGAAAGACAATTACAATATGATTTTCCAATGGAAGGCAACACACTGGCAGATTATTTGACTAACCTAGCCTTCTCTTTTGCAGGTACATTATCTTTTAACTCATTTTTTGAGTTGCCAAATGCAGGTAAGAAGATAATCAACCTAGACAAGGCCCATATTCCTAATCTGGGATAAGGGTGGCAAAGAGGAAGGCCCCAGACTGAAGTTTTCTAAGCTCTTCAGTTATTCAGTTGCAAGCTTCAACTACTCATCATCTTCTATCACTCAAGTTATTCAAACAAAATTACAATGGATTCTAGATGATATCAAACATCTGACAAGCAGTGGAATACCTTTTCATTGTCGCGTGGTGTTACCTTGGTTTAACACATATTCTGGATATTAGGAGGTTCCATATTCTATAGGTTCTACATCAACTAAGTTCTGTTCTAACATAAAGGACATTAGCAGTGAACATTGAGCACTACGTTCATACGTTTCATCTGAAACACCAAAACATAAGTGGTTTCTCCACAAATACATATCATCTAGTTTTGCTACAACTGATGTTTTGCTGTTGTCAATACATCAACAACACACCATCTAACAGGAAGCGAAATCTCAACTGGTTCTATCCTACACCTACTCTGGCTAGTGTGATTTAGGATGTATTAACTACTTGTGTGCTGTCTTACTATCTCCCAGTGGTATTAGTATGTTATCATGCTCAATCTGAGGATAATTCGACAACATACAACAATAATACATCAACTAGGCAGCCTCCAGTATATAATTTAGAATACTTCCTCCCAGTGGTAACAAAAGCAACACTGCCTCGACATTTACCAGATGGCAACTGTTCAATGGTATTAGCATTTCACAATGATCATTCTGGGTATGATAGTTCACCATATGGAAGGAGTTGCAGTGGTTGTTCCACTGCTATTGTGCTGCTACCAACACAGTCATTTCCCAGTGATTCAATTGTCCTTGGCTGGTTTGTTCAAATTTTACCACTTCAAACTTGATATCAAGCAAAGAAAAATCAAATGCCTGTTTTCTGTATCAACAATGCTGCTGGAGTTCTTCAGCCCCAAAATAAAGATGTCCAAATTGCTTTGCTTTACAACTAGTGGATTAATACATACCGACTCCTTTGGAATGCAACAAATGGCGCCTGGTGAGAGCTTTGTAGGTGCTACAAGGAATTTATTTGCAACTGGTGTGCGAATTCATTGTCGTCAGCAACAATTGGATGTTTCAAATTAGTAGCTTAGTACTTTCCATTTATCTGTATGCTACTGCTACATTATATTTAGTAGCAATAGCAATTGGCTTTCTTTGCTTGATTTTATTTCTCTTTTACTTGAACATTGTGTAACTTTTTCCCAGTTTGGGACTACTTATTATATATAACAGCTAAAGTACCTTTGCTGCTATGATGCATTCCCAATAGGTCTCCAACGTGAATAATACCTCCAAATTAGTTTTAGAACCCTTTTTATACAAGTTAGGGGCATATAGGATCGAGAAAACCTTGTCTGGGGCAAAATAGGATAAATCCCGGAATTGGGCGCCATAATGGGCGCAGTGCACCAACCTCGACAACTAAACTTTTTTTCTCGCTGCCTTTGCCATTTTGAGAGGTGCAAGGCACCAGTCTAGGCGCCAAAATTCCTCATGCTTCCTATTTTCTGCCTTTGGCATGCAGGATGGTGCAATGCATAAACCTGGACGCTGAAATGGTACTTCCTCTATTTTATTTCATTTTAGTTTTACATTTGTGCACTTTCTTTATGTTTCCCTCCCGATTTGTCCCTACACATTAATTACAAAATAAAGCTCATCTAATTGCAACACACATAAGAATAAATAAAATTTGAGTAAAATATGAGGCAACATGCATACTGTCCTGGGCGGCTTTCTAGCCATGCCCCATGACCCCTTGGACGTGCCCTATGGCATCCTAGAAAGCCTCCCAATGCCTAGGGCCATGGATGGCCACATGGTCTTGGCCGCGTCAAGTGACAAGCGCGCATGTGCTTATGTAGCCCATAGCCCTTGCCAGCGCCCAGCCGCAAGTAGATGCTAACATCTCTCCTAGGCAGGCTGCGCCCCAACGCGCGCCCGTTGTCAGCGCAATCGATCCATGCCGTGCAGCCAGCATCGCGTGCACAGACCCAGATGCTAAAGACAAGGTTACTTCCAACAGACTTGTTTTTACCTTGTAGGAATCTAAGTCCTTTTTTATTGTAAATATAGAGCAGTTTTACTTCCTGTATTTCCATTGATTCTCTATCTTATTTATGTCAAGTTATGTAACTTTGATTTATTTTTTTAAGCATTATTTGGGGGGGGNTTGGTTTTTTTAAGTATATTTACGGGGGATCAAGTAGTCAGACTTTCAAGTAAGAAAATAATTCTCTGTATTGGTGTCTCTCCCCCTTGACACCGTGTTTCCTTCTGTAATAGATTTCATTAATGCAATTAAGCTTTCTTTCATTCTCATTCTCCTTTTTGTTCTCTCAATTGCTCTTGACATCGGTTTTCCCGTACGACACTAACAATCTCATCTAGCGTACCGAGAGGACCCTAGTTGACGGATAGTAACCACACAGACATCGGTTGCTTAGCCTTACGTCGCCCTTAAAAGATATCTCAGGAAGGTGCCACGTAATAGTTGGTATCAGAGCATACACTTGACATCAGACAAGGGAACAAATTGTCATTGCCACCATTTTGACCATGGTGAATCATGGGGACCGCATTGCGGTCCTCGAAGAGACGGTTAACGTATTATGATCCATTGTGAATAGAATGCATGGTCTAAGAACTAGCCTAGTGCATAGGTTGGATGACCTGGACCACAGGATGTGGCATGCCAAATAAGACATTGCTAACATTA